GAGAGAGAGAGAGAGAGAGAGAGAGAGAGAGAGAGGGAGAGAGAGAGAGTTTATAAAGAGAGAGAGAGAGAGAGAGAGAGCGAGAGAGACAGAGAGAGACAGAGAGAGACAGAGCGAGAGAGAGACAGAGAGAGAGAGAGAGAGAGAGAGAGAGAAGATAGAGACACCCACCTGTTAGAGAAGGAAGAGGTCAGTAGCGGATGCACGGATCTCCTCGCTCTCTCGCTCTGTATGCGTTGAATGTCCTGCGACGGGGAGAACACCATCGCCGCGGCAACCGCCTCGACCTCGACCGCCGTGCTCCGCCTCTGTCGCTCTCTGCGGATGCGCTCGGCTATCGGATTCTTCGTCACGGCAACGTCGTCGTCGTCGTCATCCCAGACGATGTCGAGGGATGGGAGAGGGAAGGTTGCGTCGAGCTGGGGCGCAGAAGGGAGGGGTGGAGAGGAGGAGGTGCGAGGTCTCTTCTGCGGAGGCTCTGTAACGACGTGCGATCGAATGTTAAAAAGTTCCCGTAGATATTCGTCGATTCACGTTCGATTAGATCCTGTTGGATTCGATTCTGGTAATAAATACGTAATTCGTTAATAAATTTGTTAACATATTAATATAATTAGATTTATGATTATATATCTATATATGATATCATATGATACAGTATATGATTAGATTTTCAGACTCTCAGATTCGCAGGGTATTTCTTTCCTACTGTCTCTCACGCGTCATTTTCTATCAACTCTAAGCAAACACTTAGACTTCAATCAATATTTAGACAAATCTCCATCTAGAAATGAAATGGTGTCCATGGAATGCAACTTACGGATGCAAACAAACTCTTCTTCATTAGATATCCCATTTCGTTTCTTTAGTGAACCTAAAATGGAACATGACTGTGCATGAAAATAGGGAGGTATATGACAATAATCAATTGAGAATCACACGCACACACACTCACTTGCCCACAAGCAAGCACGCACGCACGAATGCACACGCACACACACAAGCACACGCACGCATGCATGCACACTGACACACACACACACACACACACACACACACACACACTTTCCTTATAGTTTAGCATAACCCACCAGTGTTCCCAGCTTCTGTGACAGAGTTGGTTCTGTCTGATTTAGGAGAGTTGAAGGGCAAGCTCTTTCTACTGTGCGAAGCATGATTTTGAGAAATCCGTGAGCTGTGACCATCACCGCTCTGCAAGTCAGAATCTGTAAGGAAAGATAATATGTAAGCCGATCGATCGCGGCCAGACCGGCTACAACCTGCTGCCACCTGGTGACGAGCTTAAGCAACTTTATTCAACTACATTAAGCTTGACAAAGGCAATAGGATCTGTTATCAAGATTGGTGATATGGATTTAAACAGAGTAAATGTACTCATATTACTGTTACGGTGTGCAACTAGTCAATGCTGAATCCATCTCGTCATTCCCAACCTTAGTCCGAGATTCCTCTGACCAATGCCCACACCGACGATTTTGGTAGATTTGGTGTGGGTTAGGTCAGAGCAACTTGCCTATGCAAAACGTGGAATTTCTCCGATCCTGCCGAGGATCGCTGTTTCATCGCTCCAAACTCACAATTCGGGCTGTCAATCAAGATCTGACGCACATATATCGAAAACTGGATAACTTATATGCTTGCTCGAGTTAGTAAGTACACTTGTACTCTTTTACCTTAGTCATATTTCGATTTGAAAATTTGTTGCTAACAATTTCCTTCCGACATGCATCGGCCATCCATCGTGCATCCAACTGCATTTTGGGAAACTACCACGCTACCAAATACGCTACTCTGTTGTTTCCCACAATGCAGTTGGATGCACGATGGAGCGGAGACAGGGCTCGAATTAACCGACGGCACCGACGGCAATTGCCGGCGGTGCCCCTATCAATCGCCGTACTGCCCCTG